TATAGTTAAAAATTACTAAGAAATTTTCATACGTCGATCGAGCTGTAGTCTGCCATCCGGACGTCGGCCTGGCTGCGGCGATGTTGGCGTCTTCTCGTTCATATAGACTGCTAGTAGTGCCTACGGCTACCCCTCGCCCTGAAACTGCTTCTGAAATACTTTTACTTATATTACGAGAAGTCTCTTCACTCATATTATCATAAACGAAAATTCTTTATCTTATTAATATCTACATTACTATTCGCGTCCCATATTTATGTGTTCGTAAAACATTAATTAAAAGTTGGCAGTTACGTAATGACAGGTGTCTTTGGCATTTTTATTGGCCAGTGATTTATAACAAACATTTTTAATTAAAAAATAGTTGTGAAATGGTTTTCTGGAGGGTATGGGTGGGTTAAAATAAAACAATAATATATTAAGATAATACTATTTTAATACAGCAAGTATACCATTCATTTACACGTAAACTAATCCTAGGTAGTTTTAATAAAATGTGAAGTTTGACTTCACCAAAAACTATGAATATCCGGAGAAACTAGATAAATAAGTATGGGTATCTAGTTTTGATTAAATGCTATTGTATTGTGTATAGAGATACAAGACAGATATGCATAGAACTGAGGTAGGAAATGCTAAAGAAATATCAAGATTAGTTGGCAGATACGAGGATCCATAAAAAATATATGAACGACAGGATGGGTGATAGGCCTTTAAATGTCTAATTTCTTAAAAATAGAACGGATGTATCTCTATCCTATGTCTAGATTAGGTAGGTATCCGCTATACAGACTGCGAATTAAATGCGCGACAATCTCCCACCCCAAATTAATGCCATAATGGCGTCCATCCGATTCAGAAACCTGCGTAACCGAATGCGAACACTCTGCTATGGGAAAAATAGGCTGGATTTATATTTTTCCAAGGTATTCAGGGTTAGCAGGCCGTTTCGTATGGACGCCTGACTCTGAGAAATCGCTTTAAAGTATCAGTCGCCGATATACAGGAATATCCTGTTCCTGCACCCGCGGCCCGGAGCGCAGCAGCTCAGCCAGAGTGTAAAGGTCATCGCGAGGCCTGTAGTTGTTCTGGTGCATCATCATGGCATCAGAGCGTTTTCGAGCGACCATGAAGCGCTTTACTTTATTGTTAGCGTATTGCCGCTTGCGGCGGGCTTCCTCGTATCTTTGAGCTAGCTCAGTCGGGTCCACTTGGTACAAGTCAGGGTAGCCGTGTGCGAGAGCCATGCGGTTCTGTTCAGAGAAGTAGGAGTGGTGTGGGTAGTCGCGCTCATGTGGGCTGATAACGACTGGCTCGTTGTACCACACATCGCCGCTTTCGTCTACTTCTGGTTGGTCCTCATCGGAGCCAACGCGTCCATAGTAGTGATCGGCGGCCCACTGGTTTGCATTCCACTCTTGTTTCCTTCGTTCTTGGGCTTCCCATAGGTTAAGTAAAGCTCGCACGTCGGCTGCGCTTAATCCAGAGTCTCTCTTGCGTCGTTCCGAGATAGGCCTGTTGAGGGAGTCAAGCAAACATAAAGGTAAACATACCTTACTTCGATGGTCCACTATTATATAGCAAAGAATAAAATATTTTTACCTAAAGTTCTTCTTTCCTCCGCCTGAGTTCTTAGTAGCGGTCTTAGCTGAAGCTGCAGCTCCGCCAACTTTGGTTCCGCTGCCACGCTTACGACGGTGCACATCGTGCTCAGGACCGGCGGACTCTATCGGAGACAGAGCCGCGTGATCTGCAGGTCTATGGAAATTAAACCAGTCACTTTTTTGAATTTTGCTACGTAGATCGGCGACAAAAGCTGTAAAAATGCTTACTTCAGGTTTTTCTTCCCCGAGCCTGATTTGGTGGCTACCTTAGTAGCAGCTCCAGCGCCTCCTACTTTGGTTCCGCTGCCACGCTTGCGACGGCGGTTGTCGTAGCCGGAGGACATGCTCTCCATGGCCGGAGGTTCTCCATACAACTCAGGTCTCATGATAAGGTTGTCAAGTTCTCCCGTGGACTGGGGAGAGTCGAAACGCTGCTCGACACCTTGTTCGAACCCTTCGGAATTGCCTGAAATAAATAGTTTGTTAAAACTATGCTTTACGGCCGTCCCTGTTATGACGATATTCAAGATGGAATTGATGACGTATCAATAGGAAATTAATGATGGTGTTTATGGGTTAAGACATAAAAAAAAGAGTAGAATGGGTATGCTTTCTTTTATACGTTGCTAAAATTTTTTTTTTATTGCAACATCGATGACATGATAAAGCTCGCTTAGGTGTGGCCATTACCTTCTTCGCTGAGAGCAAGTGGATATGGTTCCAGGTCATTTTTGTCGCTCTTGTTCAGGAATAGGGACTGTGTGTCGTCTTTTGTTTGGTCCCAATTTTCGGGTAGCTCACCAATTGGGCCGCCATCTAAAATGTGATTCATGGAACAGTATCTAGATTGAAAATCAACAAAAAAGCTAACAAAGTACGTATGATTATCGATAATGATGATACATTGGGCTCATACCGAAGCGAGCAGGTTAAAGATTGGGTATATGGCTTTGAAATGAGGTGATGAGCAATCTTGATGTGATCTTCATAATGATTAATAAAATCTATAGATCAGTGTTGTACCTATAGAGCACATAATATTTGAATTAAATTATACGAATTAGTTCCAAAAATTGACTAAAAGATATGGACACTGGATAGAAAAGATAACTTCGACATTGACGACAACACCAACGTTGCCCCATGTATTCAAATAAAAACTCGAAAGCTATTGGTAAAGGATATCTAAGTCTAAAAGAATGTCATGAAAAATATTTAAATATGATCTCTCTTTGTTTGAGAAGTAAGACACAGGAAGGTAGGTAGGTACTCGTACCTAGTAAGACTTAAATAAAGACACATGTGCCTACTCAAACGGACGCCATTTTACCGCCTCACATCGTAGTAGCAGGATATAAGTAGGTGTTCCGTGTTAGCTCCTTCAACTAGTAACTAATAGGCAACATTCTTTACCTATCGCGAGAAAATCAATGTAGCAATGTCTATATCGAGTCAGTCCATTGTTAGGTGAAAGGTCATAGCCGAGTGGGTAGATGGGGAAAGGTGGAACTACGCAGATAAGAACGGCGCAGTTGAGACACCTGTTGCTAAATATAGAGCGCAGCCAACCCGGCTGATCGATACGCCACGACAAACAACAACACAGCTATATACACTATATCAATATACATCCACCCCACCAAAAGATGCCAAAAAGTAGAAACAAAATACAAAAACTGAAATTATAAGAGTTGTGAAGCAACGTACCTTTATTGTTAGTAGGCGTCGGTACCGCATCGGCAAACAAAAGAACCGCGAAGGCCGCGGTCAAAGAAAAGAATAACATCTTGGACGACTATTCGATTTATTTTTTTAGACTTCGTAAAACAAAAATTGAATTAAAAATATTGGTTGAAATCAACAGGAGACCGGATGCGTGTGGTAGGCTTGGCCGCGCAGGACGAGTGCCGTCTATCAGCAACCACACCAGAGAGAATACTCATCGCTCCTGTCGATAATTTCGCGACTTGCGCACTAACTCCGCCAGGGATGCACTCGATGACTAACACGTTTTCTAGAAAATTACATAGGGTACTTGGAAAATGTATGCTATACGTACGCGACAAAGTTAAAAGTGCTAGCCTTGTACCGATTCGCGAGGGAGCTTGAACTATTTAAGATCTCGATTATGGAGTCTCTATTTCCTTTTAGTGGACCCTCATCTATTCATCGTCACCTCAATCCCCTGTTTCTAACTGCCTGTGTCTGTAAATTATAAATTAATAATAACTATGCATTTCTAAATCTCTAAATAAGTAACTACAGCAATGACAGAGACATCTATAGTAATATTTGTCATCTATACTCGATGATGTTCGTACGAATGTTAAAATCTCACATTTCAAGTAAAATTTGTTAAATCCTTTGAGTTTCAAATACGTCTCTGGTAATCCATCTCTGAGCTATGACGTCTGTGACCGGCCGGCCCTTCTTCATGCCTCTACCTCTACACGAGTACCAACGCCGCTCTTGGCGCTCCAGCTCGTTATTCACAACACATTAAACATGCCCTGCGTACTCTTATTTTGGTATAGACACACACACAGTAGGTACTAATGCATAATATGTGCAAATTCTGTTGTCACACAATGTAATTTTCCGCCCAATGAATTCGGCGAATTTTAATTCAGTAAAACTGTACGCTATCCTGTTTCTAGTGTCTGTCCTAACGATTTTATTTAATTTCTGGACTCTTGTTCCAGAGAACATGTCAGTTCCATCATGACCTTATTCTAATTGTTACACAAATTTACAGTAAAAATGACAATTTTATATTATTAATCGACTTCAAAAAGGGAGGAGGTACTCAATTCGTCGGTGTGTTTTTTTTTGTATGTATGTTACGCGATAATTTTGGATGATTCTTTTGTTGGAAAGAGGGTACCTCGGTATTGGTCCCATTTAAATTTGAAGAAAGTATTCTACTTCTAAGGGTGGCCAACTAGGGATGAATCCGGCTTCGCGCACTTTCCTCAAACTGCCTCTGTGGCCGAACGGTTGCCATGCCGGACTGCCACGCAGAGGTCCTAGGTTCGATTCCCGGGCCGGTAGAAATATTTGTGTGGCCTACATTTCTTTCTCTCGTGAGTTTGGGTGTAATTTGTGGTTGTCTATGTGTGTGTCCATGGCACCCGCGACACAGGGTTTCCCTAGTGCGGGGCGAAGTTGAGTGTGTGCGTTATTATTATTATTACTTTCCGGTAAACGATTTCAATAAAACTCGGCTAATAGATGAAATTCCACGAATTTTTGAGGTCGATTTTTTAAATAAAAAATTATAATTATTTTGTGTGTATGATACGCGAAATACACTGGGTTTTACATATTCTTAAAGTAATGCATCCAAAGTAACACCCTGAAATTTAAAATAAATATAAAGTTATGCCATCTTCTGAATAATCATTATAAGATACGGTTTAAGAAAGTAAGACATCGTTTGTGAACCGATTTCAATGTTTCTTTTTTGTTCGAGAGGGGGTACCTCAGTAGTGGTCCCGTTTAAATTTGAAGAAAATATTCCACCTCTAAGCGGCCAGTTACAAGAGTTCATCTACATTAAAGGCGAATCTGAATTATATAGTCTAGGCAATAACATTTAAATTCCTCTGGATAAAACAACCACCACGCGCTTCGCCGCGTAGACCAAAGTCAAGCCAGACTCGCCTGCGTGTCCGGGACGCTAATTTCAGTTAAAACGTAAATTTTGATGAAAAAAGCTAATTTTGCTATGACAGTTAGACGCACGCGGTCGCTGCGCGGCGGTAACGCGGACTCCGCTCGTCAACCGGGCGGCGGTGGGTGGCAAATTACGATGATTACGGTTTTAAATTTCATCCACATTCCGTTAACCGATTTCAATAAAAAATGGCACATGGATGTAATTAAATAAATAAATATATATATCAAGTAACGATGTTTTACCATGTCACACAACATTTTCGTATGTTTTGATAAGGGATCAGATAGAATCCTTGGAAAAAAATTAATGTCTAGACAATTCAATTTTAATATAATCATCAATAGTCGCTGGTCTTCGTTCTAAGTACATTCTTCCAACGAGTGCCGAATGTTTTCAATTTTGTTACCTCTTTAACAATTCGGTGAATTTGCTTTTTTCATGAGATGCCTGTCCAAACTTGTTCGAATGTTTGGAATGTAGTCTAAACATTGTATCTAGCTTGCATAATTCACAATTAACAAACAAAGATATGTGATGTGGCTCACATTGAAGAATTCTTTATGTACCTTCTATGGATCTTGATCAAAGATTTCTTTCCCACTTTATTCAAAAGGGGAATTTTCAGGTTAGTTAGTATCTAATTTCGGTGGCAATTGTTATTGTAATATTACGAGTAATATAGACACACACACAGTAGGTACTAATGCATAATATGTGCAAATTCTGTTGTCACACAATGTAATTTTCCGCCCAATGAATTCGGCGAATTTTAATTCAGTAAAACTGTACGCTATCCTGTTTCTAGTGTCTGTCCTAACGATTTTATTTAATTTCTGGACTCTTGTTCCAGAGAACATGTCAGTTCCATCATGACCTTATTCTAATTGTTACACAAATTTACAGTAAAAATGACAATTTTATATTATTAATCGACTTCAATCTTATAAGTACGAGTACTTAACTACTTAGTTATATTTTTTTTAGTCGAAAGTGTTAAGTTGTTAACTGTACAAAACTAAATAGTGCTATCATAGATCGATATAATAAGTCATTTTCAGGTCACTTTCTCCATCTGATTTCGGTGACATTTTTTTTTTATATTTTAGAATATTATCATGTAGTATTATTTAATATTCGAGTGTTATTTGGAAATATTATTTAATATTTCACGATATTATACTCAAATACTTAAATAATAAAAAATGCCATAAAAATAAGGCAGAGAAAAATAACATGAAAATTACCCACTTATTGTACGCCACCCTATTGTACCTTTTACAAAATATAATTTTTCTTTTACTTATCCATTTAACACTCCTTATCGCGGAGAGCCATTGTCATAAATATGACGAATTTTATTAAAATAAATTTATGGCTTTTGTATATTTAGGTAATACAATATCGTCCTTATAAAAATTGTTTATAGGCTATTCAGAGAAAAAAAGTATATAATTAAAACAGGCTACGCTCTAGGTCTTGGAACAAATCTTAGGCTGCTTTCATCAGACTTATCGGCTTTTACTTGCTTATATAACTAACAGCAACTCAAGAAAATAATCTTATAAGCAGATAGGTACATCAGATAAATGGGACTTTAAGTCACAAATAAAGACGTTGATTGACCGAATGTGGCTTGGGAAGGTGCACAATAGTCGAATTTAACAAGACTCATCTTCTCGTTCAGGCAGTTAGCGAACAAAAGAAACTAGCGCAGCAATGAAACGTTCTTTGATCGCACCACGTCCTGTAAACATACGTACCTACCTTTAGTTATTCTGTTCTGTTAAATATGCAGTTGGTAGAGGCGATGTTGTCGAACAAAGCACAGCTTAGTCCCCTTTATTACGTACAGAAGTAACTTAGGATTTTGATGGAAAAGCTGTTTTGATTAGTCGTTCAAATTAGTTACTATAACGAAAACAAGTTGTTTCAACTTCAAAAATGGAGGAGATTCTCAGTTTGTCTGTTTTTTGTGTGTGTATGTTACGCGATTACTCCGACATTTGCAAACCGATTTCGATGATTCTTTTTTGTTGGAAAGAGGGTACTTCAGTTGTGGACCCATTCAAATTTGAAGGAAATATCACACTTCTGAGGATGGTAAATTAGGGGATGAATCCAGTTATTGAATTTCACCCACTTTTGCCGTTGAAAAATGTCGTATTGTAAAAATACTTTACGTGTAGATGACGCGCCTTAACTCGATTCATTCGATATTCAGTCACATGCTTAGAGGTGGAATATTTTCTTCAAATTGTTTTGAACCTATTTAATCGGGACCACAACTGAGGTACCCTCTTTCCATAGAAAAGAATCATTCAAATCGGTTCACAAATACCAGGATTATCGCGTAACACACATACAAAAAAACATACAGACGAATTGAGAACCTCCTCCTTTTTGAATTCGGTTAAAAAAGTACTATTCCGCAAGTTTATTAATACTTAATTATGGCAATTCCGTTGAGGTTTTAGGGTAATAAGCACAGTCCATTATACACTGTAAATTTTCTTGATTAATCCAATTTAATTATGTTTAGGTATTCGCTAAACAGCTATCGTAAATTCCCTAATCTGAACTGCACGTATAGCAGCAGCCATAGCAGGGAAAATCGTAGATAGGAAGACATTATTTTGGTAGTTTTATGGCGTGTACAATGAAAAATGCAATGCTTACTTTTCTCTTGGAAGATATGTTGCTTAGTGTTATTGGTAACTTTGTTCTGTTTTTTTTTCCTTCTTTTTTAAATTTCTGATAGATATATTTGTTCTCCAGTGAAATTTGAATAAAAGATAAACCTTATATAAAATTACTTTATTTCTTTTATTTAGTCCTAGAGTCGTATTCCAGAACTCTACTCAATGCTCAAGTCAGGACTTGAGTATGATTTAAAGCACTAGAAATCATACTCAAATCCTTGCCATTAGGGTCGTATTTCCAGTGCTTGAAATCATACTCAAGTCCTGACTTGAGCATTGAGTAGAGTTCTGGAATACGGCCCTAAGAGCCTATGCACACGGCATATTTTTTAGTGCGCGTTTAAATTAGACATTTGCAGAAGAGCTTATAATTTGAAGGCACCGCGCCATTACGCACGGATGACGCTATGCGCGTTTCTTGAACGAACGTTTAAGAACGTACCTATACAAAAATTTACTGTCTGTGACTGAATATCGTATAAATCGAGTAAACACAAAAAAAAAGTAAAAATTTGCCGTTTGCATAGGACCTAAAACGTTTTCGGAGTATTTTTATAATACGATATTTTTCAACGGCACGCAAAGGAAAAGTCGTTCAGTGGTGCTGAATCAAACTCTGATCTCCTGCCTGAAACCCACGCGGTCTCACAACAAGACTATAACCGCTTTATTAGGTTATCATCTGTTTCGGTTTTCAATTTCAAACATTTTATTAAAACAACATAGTAGGTATGTTGCCTACAGATCAATCAATTGCAAGAAAATCTAACTTAAATTGTACAGATTTACTAAATAAAATAATATAGGTAGTTACTTATTAATTTATATTAGAATCCTTTAGAAGTAAATAGGTAATAACCAAGTCCTAATTTTTTTCGCCCGCAAATACAAATTTGTAGTACCTCCTGCCGGTCATTTGATGAGACATGTTTTAACAATTTCCTTTCCTTTCATACAGGTACTTGTTGCATACCTACTATTAGGTACAGCGAACGGGAAAAATATTTGCTTTTTAGATGGATATTTAGCAAAAGTACAAGAAGGCACGTGCTGGCGCACGTAAAAGGAAGGAAGCTACAGATTTCGCAATATTAGTAATGAAAAATATAGTATGAATAACCTACATATTTAGGTTCGAACTAGGTTGAATGGATATTTCCAACCGAAACGCAGCAGTCTTTCTTTGAGTTTTCAAATAGCGAAAATTTTACATATGAATACTTTTTCCATAGATTTAACACCTTTGACCTCTATTATCGCAGGTCACAGATCGAAATTCAATATTTGGGTGTCGCCACGGCCTGTATTGTTGTATTGCTCATGCTAGTTTCAAATTTTATGCATACCCGGTGAGAAACAGCTGAGTAATTACGTTCGAAAATTGAGTGGATACCAAGAAAGTTCGCTCGCTGCGCTTCTCGCATGGCCAATTACCTTTTACCTACAGTATTGATAGATTTATATCGATCAAAACCAAAGTCATTGTTGATTATAACTAAGTTTGCAAGAGTATGGGAGATTATATGTATTTCTTTGGCAACAAAATATAATCTCCACCAAAATGACGGTGGAGTGACTTACGTAAATAGGCGAACACGAAAGAAGTGAAACTTGAACATGCATCTTGCATTCAGTTAAATGTATTTGATCATATTGTTCTATGTATTTATCGCTCGCCGTCAAATTCTAATGCGATAAAATTTATTGATCCTCTTAGTACCTATTTAGAAACTGTCAGATCTCATCATAATATAATTATAACGGGAGATATTAATATAAACCTCATACCTAAACCTAATGAAGCGTCAAATGAAATTATCAATAGGGTTAATTATTTAAATATGCTGTCTACACACGGAATTTTACCTGGTCACTCTATTCCGACTAGAGACGTTAGCTGTTTGGATCACTTCATGATGATATTTGATCAATATAAAATATGTTCGCATATCGCAGTGTTAAATACTGCCATTACTGATCACAATGCTATATTTATGAAATTATCCAAACTGACAAATTAAACAAAACAGATATTGTCATAAGACGAAAGAAAGCGCTGATTATGACAAAGCATTCACTAAACTTCTTGAAACGAGTCTTGCCACTTTGCTTTTTTGCGATGATTCTAACACAGTTGCTGAACAATTGACAGGAAAACTGGCTGAAACACTGGAAGAAAGTAAATTGATAATAAATGTACCAAGAAGTAAGCGTAGGAATTTGTCTGTTTTATCGACTGAGAGACTATAGTGCTAAACGCTTTATTTTAGATATTATGGACTTTTGTCCCTCTTCACCCAGTATTCCTCTTACCCCACCTGACCTTAATGCAACATTTTTTATTTTTTATTCAATTTGTAATTGAACCCGGGACCTCTGCGTGGCAGTCCAGCATGGTAACCGTTCGGCCACGGAGACAGTTAATTTTATAGCCAATAGTTATGTTTATTTCTTTTTTTATATTACTATCTACCCTTTTTTTTTTTTACTATCTACCTGAAAAGCGGGACGGTAGCTCAGTCGAAGAACATCAATATGCTTCCCTATAATAATTGAGGGGTGACGGCTCGAGTTCCCGTGACGTGTAGATACACGTCTTTAATTCACGAAATTAATTTCTAAGTTACGTACATTTGTGAATGTTAAGCAATATCAATACCACTCGCTAACGCTGAAGGGAAACATCACGATGAAACCTGTATGTTGACACACAACCTGTTCACAACCGTTAACGTATGAAGTCCCCAACCCATATTGGGTAATTTTCAGGTTAGTTTTCTCTACCTAATTTCGGTGGCAATTTTTACTTAAATATTCTAGAATATTATCATGAAGTATTCCTTAATATTCGAGTGTAGTGTCCTGAAATATTATTTAATATTTCACGATAATATACTCGAATCCTAAATAAAAGTTGCCACCAAAATTAGGTAGAGAAAACTAGCTTGAAAATAAAAATAACCTATTTGGGTCAACGTGTCGTCTTATGGGTTGAACCTTCTTCAGGACACCCGTGCCCAGCGGTGGGATGTATAATAATATAAAGTGCCAGACAACCACAGCATTGAACTGTTCACAAACTAGACCTTATCTATTTCTGCAGTTTTCTGAGCATTACTGCGTGCTAGTTTTGAAGGGTAAGGGTGCTGGTGAAATTACAGTATCATGGGACTTGTCAACTTGTCTCCGAGTGACAGGTGAGTGTTGCAGTGCCCCTCAGATCTGTGTGATTTAAAGCTCCGAGTGGCACTGTATGTTATGGACAGGCGTGTAGTCTGCGTCATCAGGTGCACGACTTGTTCATCCCATCACTTGATATTATAATAATATAAAATATACGCCATACGAATATTTCTGCCGGCCCAGGAATCGAACCCAGGAATTCGGCGCGGCAGAGCAGCGTGTTAACCATTCAGCTCAGTTCAATTCTCTGTATTTGTAAGACAGCAATACTACCCAGAACACTTAGACCAGAAACAATTTACAAAAGCCTATTGCCAAATTAAATAAATCAGAAATAAAATATTGCAAACCGTAGGCCACAGAGGTCGTCATAAAATGAGAAAAAACTACATAAGTTAAAAAACAGTTTATTAGAGCTTCATAATATCTTATTTCAAACACGTAATGTATGTTGTATGTATGGAAACATTAAGTTTATATAGATTGACTAACAACAACAGTACACTTTGTATATTGAGTATGTGACTTCATTTTGTAATATTATGACCTTTCATAAATATGTGTACACAAATTAATTAATACGAAGACATAAAATTGTACTGTATTGATTGCAATCAAATTATTGTGAATATTCCTGGTGATGAAACCACATCGACTACAAACTAAACATTATTATAAACACTTTTGTCAGATGACCACTATTGTCCATATTCACTTATATCCAGTGAAATTTAATAGTACAAAATTAAAATTGAGAGTCCCATGATTCAATTAAACTAAGTATGTATCCATGCAACCAAGATAAGGACATCTCTCAACAAATAAAGTGAACTTCTAGGACTTTTTTTTGTCTTTTTTGTCTCCCTTTCTTTTAATGATTTTACGTTTCTTTTTGTCAGGTTCACTCTCAGAGCTTGAGGTAGAGGAATCACTGCTAGTTGATGATGAAGTTGAACTATCACTTGACGAACTACTGCTGGATGTTGACTGTTTCTTTTTCCTTCTAGCACGCTTCTTTTTATGATCTGATTCACTTGAAGAACTGGATTCACTGGTTGAGGAACTTGACTCTGAGGAATCCGTCTCAGATGATGTGGATGGCTTACGCTTCTTTTTAAGTTCTTTGTAGGTGGCTTTCTTAGTTTTCTTATCTTTATGGTCCTCTTTAGAGAGGTTTTTCTCCACATTTTTTACCTTTCCTGTAGGTGAAGGTGTTCTTGGCTCTGGGTTCTTAGTTTCATGTTTAGTAATTTTCTTGTTGATTTCCCTTTCTTCTGAGATTGAGGTTTTACATTTCAATTTATAGTTTTCAACATTTCTGTTGTTACTTTCTTGCTCTTTTTCAGACTTCCTATAATTTGTTTCATGGTTTCTTGAGTCACTTCTGGAATTATGATAGTCTTCATGTTTTTCTGAATTTTTATCATGTTTGTTATTATCTGGTTTCTCTTTGTTATGATGTTTCGATAGTAATTTATTTGGCACAGATCTTTCACCTCCAGCAGGTGACTTTTCTGACCTAGATTTAAATGTTCTAGAATGATCATCTTTGTCTTTATTTTCTTCCTGGTGTTTCTTCCTAGTGTCATCATTACGTCTCTCATTTTTTTGTGACTCATTATGATCGGAATGGTTTGATTCATGTTTAGAGGTTCTGTCCTTGGACCGTACATCTTTGGATCTGCTTCTACTCCTATCTCTATGTTCTTTTTTACTTCGCGTGTATTTTTCTTCTCTATGTCTTCGACTATTGCTTTTACTTCTTTCTCTACGATCTTTGTGATGTTTCGATACCCTTTCATCTCTTGACTTACGGTCACGGCTATGTCCACGTTCTTTCCTGTCTCTGCCATATGTTCTACTATCATTGTGTCTTTCTCTGTCTCTGTCCTTTTCATGATGATCTTTTTCATGGTTTCTATTATTCCTTTCTTCATTTCTATCTCTGCTCCTTGGCCTCCTCATTTTATCTTTACTAACATAATTATCTTGTGGACCATTACTTTCATCATCATTTATGTGTTTTACTCCTCTTCCTTTACCCAACCATTTAATTTTTGACACAGACTGTGAGAAGTCTACATGAATTCTCCGGTCATCAATTAATACATTGTCCATCTTAAAGTAAGCATCTTCACAAGACTTTTTATTGTCAAATTCAATAAAAGCATACTGTAGTGAATCACCAGTCTTTTTGTCTCTTATGACTTCACAGCTATTTATCTTACCAAATCTACTGAATATTATTTCTAAATCATCATCAGTTGTGACGGGATTCAGCTTACAAACAAAGAGAACATTTTCCGGTGGTGCAATATCTGCATCTGGTATGTCACCCACAATTTCCAATATTGTAGCTCGAGCTTTGGCCTCCTTCTCTTCAATCATCTCTTGTATTTCTTCTGCAGTTTTACCTTGAGCTTCGTCCAACTCTTCATCAGGTGCAATTCTACCACCTTTCAGTCGCTCCGCACTTGGAGATGGTGATCTTGTCGGCGCCCATAATCCAGTGGGGTCATTGAATGGGTCTTCAAGTACTACAGTATGTGTAATCCTAACATCTTGATATGGGCGATGGGTTTCATCACAAATTACGTCGTTTAGTTTCCTTAACACATCATGCCCTTCAGTCACTTCTCCAATCACACAGTGGTAGCCGTCTAAAGAGTCTAAGTCAGGGCCCAGCGTGAAAAAGAATTGAGAGCCGATCATCACGTCGCCAGTACCTACCATGGACAGCAAACCAGTGTCCGTGTGTCGAATTTTGGGCATTTTTTCTCCTGAAAAAAATCGTTTGTCAGGACCCTCTAAGAGGCCAAAGATAGACTGTCCCCCAGACCCCTCGCCAGTGGGATCCCCAGTCTGAGCAATAAAACCGCTACGAATTGTGTGGAACAGGTTAAAGTTATAGTATTTCATTTTACATAGCTTTAAAAAGTTGAGACATGTTACAGGCCGTTGTTCCAAATATAGGTCCACGGTAATGTCGCCGAGAGTGGTTTCTATGACGACAGCCATTCTTGCGGTATTTGGGAACTCAAAAACAAACGTTAAAGTAACATTTTCTATGAAAATAACATTAAATGCGGTTAATTAAACATAGCGTTCTGACACATCACAAAAATAACCTCACTTCTCGATGTTGCCGTTATTACTATTAGATAGAACATTTTTTCTATCAGTTCATACTGGTTCATACAATAAGAAGTTAATAATTTAACTGAGATTTAAAAAATACTTACTACTTAGATAATTGATTTTCGAATACAGAAATTATATTAATTTCACGTTACCTACTATTTAAATATTTTAATAATAAATTGCATCAATTATCACGCAATTCCACATATTTTTGTAATGGCAATAATTCGTTTGTGTCCTAAAAGTGACATCTATCGTCATTATGCAAAAGTAAGTGCTTCGCTGAGGAATGATTTTATCCGTAGACTTCAATGTACTAAGAGTTTGTGGGTTCACCTCCATCGTAGTTTAGGTTCGTATTAATAGATGGCGTGGAAAAAAAATAACATTGTACGTCATAGATATAGTATATAGGTTTGTTCTACGTAGAGGAACGATAAAAATGATTTGAAATGAAACTTGAAATTTATTAAATAATGAAGTTACTGTTTAGCACAACATCTTTATTAAAAATAGTGATAGACATAAACACGAAGAACAAAAGTTAACTTCTAGACAGCCGCTTTTACAAATTAATTAAAGTGTAATAAAATACCGGTTATTTAAAATTTTTGCTATTTGCGATGTTTAAAACGATAGGTAGTGAAACAAAAACTTTCACTAAAGGTACAGCCACATGTGGTACAGCTAAGGTACAACCTCTACCTGTGTAGCTCTTTCAGGATGTTCGATTTTTTGATATTTAAAATAAACATTGTAAAATGTGTCCAAAAGTCTACTTACAGAGAGGAACCTCTAAAGCTTTTTACTCATTCTTCTCAGGGGAATTTGCCTTGCTAATGATGAGTGTACAATGAATGTGAAGATTTCAAGTATAATTTGCAAACCGATGAAATAAAGATGTTTTTGAACTTTAAATTTTTAATTAAAATTTTTAAGTAAATAAATAATTATGAATAATTTGTTTTTTTTTTTGTAAAGTAGGTTATAATGGTCTTACGCAATAAATTGCGTCAATAAACCTGATTTCTAACTAGGACATTCCAAAGTTTCAATGTATCTGGATAGTACGGTAAAATTTGATTGTGTTATTAATGCAAAATGGGGTGTAAGATAAATATTATTTTAATAGGTTCAAATGTTTAATATCGAGGTGTCGAACGCAGGGCATGCAATTCGCCTTACTCACGTTTCTAGAAAATCTAATAAAGGCCGATCCGCCACCCTCTTCCGTTTCGCCCCTAATAAAGCGAGTATTGAAAATTTACCAACCATTCTACAGAATATAAGGTTAGTCTGCATGAATGACGATCGCACCTAAGCATGATATCAAATACTGTTTTGAACTTTACTACGTCGACTCAAGCTTCTTTCTGAAAATCGGTACGAAGTGTGTCTTGATAGTGGCACCCGGTGTCGATGTAACAAAACAAAAATGTTAGTTGATAATGTAGGGTTCCGTGACCGTTCATATTTATATTAGGATTGGTACCTGAAGTAGTCTTTTTTTATAATATCTAGTGACCGGACAAACAAGTAATGCTGACATTACTGCTTGGCGGCAAAAATAATAAAGGGGCAGTACTACCCTGGACGAAGTTTTTCACAAGGAGCTTCTACTGCTGCTAAAGTAGTAGTCATGAAGTAGTAGACATTTTTAATAGTTTAGAGCTCAAAAGGTAACACTGCCAGTGTCAGTTGTTCTTCTTCTTCTTTTTATCTTATCGATACACTATAATGTTTGCCATTGTTGTGAAAGTATTTGCCAACTGGAGTAAGGTAGGCTTTTTTGTGCACCCTACTCTCTATATGTAGTATGTACCTGATGAATTATTATTATTCTGCTATTATTATTGAATAGAAGAGCCATTAAATTAATTATTATTATTATTTTATATAAGTAAATAGAAATGCTACGTTACTGTATGTGGACAATCCTGTAAAAAATGCTTTATGTACGAAATAAATAAAAAATAAATACCGGGATGTCAGTAGGAGGTATTATTCACTCTACTTGTCTATACCGATCTTTGGTAATGATTTGTCTTACTCGGTTGCTGCAATGCTACTTTTAATGCATCATTAAAATAAGTGCTTTCCATGCAAGCCGCAGTAGCCTGATGATTATACCTACAGGCTCAAGCAGAGATCTCGAGTTCAAGTCCGAGCTTGCACCTCTGAACTTTTCGGGATTTATAATCGAAATTAGTTTGAAATTTACCTTGAGCTTTTCGGTGAACGAAAACATCGTGAAGAAACCTGCACATATTTCTACTTCTTCAAGTGCCTCTCCATTATTGAAGGCAGTCAGTTTTCTATATCTTTCTTTATTCAGTGCTAGCTTGAACAGTTGTTCTACGGTCTTGATACGGTCCACTCCTTGATGTTACGAAGCCATGACATTTTTCTACTTCCAACTTTCCGCTTCCCAGATACTTTGACCATCTTTATAGTGTGCAATAGATGATATCTGTCATGTCGCAGTACATGACCAAAATGGGCAAACTAAAAAAAAAACTTCCACACACATTTGCAAAGCAATTTAACAAAGAGTGTGAATTGATAATAGTTATAAAGATCAAAAACTCAAAAAATTGCTTCGATCCTGTTGGATTCCAACCAATGTCTTCCAGCAAATCGTGGCAGACGCTATCTCTACCAAGACATGGAACGAATTAGCGTACTAACGAATTTTTCTATGTGCTTGTTGCAGATCTTTGTTTTTAGTTTTTAACGCCACTCACAGGTGGCGTAGCCAGAAAGCATGGCGTAGAAATAAATTTTTCCACTCAGACCTTTGACCCCTAAAACGGAGCACACTGTGTACAAAATATGATATAAATAACGTGTACGCGGCTAGATGTGAAGGGTTTCACTTTATTTTTTTATTTCTTTTCAATGCTTACTTCATCAATTATTTTAAAAGCAGGTCGGTGTTACATGAAAAGCTTGTGTACTGTTTTTTTTGCACTGGTTTTATCAATAGAAGTTTGTTAAGTTAATTAAAGGAAGTGCTGCTTGTGTGTGGGATAAATTGACATCGAGCATCGTCCATCCGTATACGTATATTTATATAAGGAACTTCTGCAATATTTCGGACACTAAGGCTGGCGTTTGTTAAAAAAATTGTCATCATTTCAGCTAAAAGACATCGACTGCTGAACATAAATCCCCCAAAAAATGCCACAACGACCTGTCCTGCGCCTTTTGCATTCAATTTTTTTCAATTTTTTCAATTTTTTCAATTCAATTTTGCATGGTCTGCCCACGCAGCGTCTTCCGGTACGCGGTCGCCACTGAGAACCTTCGACCGCATGGGTCATCAGAATCTGTTCTGCGCGCAAAGTGCCCTGCTATTGTGCACTTATTATTATTTTTATTATTAGGGTGGCTTCAGTCGGAGCATATGCAGCCCTTCATCACTGCCACCATCAACTGATCTATCTACCGTGATCACCAATAATTACAGTTCAGTGCCAAGGCCGACAGCATTGAAGACTTGAAAGATTTTCCAGGCTCCAACAGATTTTATGTCCTCTGGTTGTGGCAAGTTCCTTCCCAGTATGGAGCTTTGTACGCCCATAAGGGTAGCATTGGGTGAAAAGATGTACGGGAATTTCATCCGCCTCGTGGCAGAATCTACACTCTCTATTCTGTCTGTCTAATATTTGACGTGTGTTTGTTCAAGCCACAATGTCTTGTTAAGACTCTAGTGAGTATTCTGATGCCATTCCTGTCCAATGACAGAGCTTCTCTAGAGTGTTGGACATTGTAGGCAGCTATCAGGGCTTTTGAATGTTCAAGACCCTTGCCCTGTAACTACATTTCTTGGGAGACGTGTGTGCTTTCATTCAGCAGAGTGAGCTTTGCCAGGCTCTGTGCTATCCTTATAAAGGGTTCGGGACCAATAAAGGTTTCCATAACATCAGTCTTTGTCAGTTCATCTGCTGCCTCATTACCCTCGATGTCAGAGTGATCTGGAACCCAACGTAGGACCACTTTATTCCTTTCCCCGATGCATTCAGTACAGTTCTCTACAATCCCCAGCCACTTAAGTTTTGCAATTCGTTGGACTATATCGGTTACTCTGGTTTCATCATTACTGATTCGATCTCGCAACGAAACTCCGAGCATACCCTTTATATTGCCCTTTGAGTAACCTTGAGCCTTCTTATGAGACCCATAATGAGCATCTCAGTGCCGTAAGTCGTCACTGGCAACACACACTGGTCGAAAACTTTTGTCTTTTAAAACATAACTATCGCAGTCTGGATGTAACAAGGTCACAACTGTAAAATGATGACTTTTCAGAAGAAGAGGTTTATAGATTCTACGAACGAAATTTATCAATAACTTTTTTAAACTTAACATTTACCAGGCCGCAGAGAACCAGATTTGCACTCCAAAAATGTCTTGTTTGAGATGGTATTAACGAAATTATATACTGCTAGAAGTCATAAAAAGGGAGGAGCTTGTCAATTCGATTTTTTTGTATGTATATTACGCGATTACGCAGCATTTGTGAACCGATTTTGATGATTCTTTTTTGTTGGAAATAGGGTACCTCCCACTTAAATTCGAAAAAATTATTCCACTGTTAAGGTTGGCAAACTATGTGATGGATCGCTACACTGAGACATTAGTTGACAAGTCCCGTGTGCCTGAAGTTTCACCAGCTTCCACCAATCAAAACCGGAGCGCAGTAATGCTCATATTACTGCTTGGCGGCAGTAATAGATAATATGGGAGCACTTCCCTGGACGAACTTTTTCACAAGCAGCCCTACTGTTACTAAAACACATACAGGGCGTCACACGGCTATGCCACACGGAGGGATTGTACCTCAAAATTTGCTTTGCTTTGCATTTTATCATGCGGTTATTACAGGTAAATGATATATTTCTCAAGTTTATACTCATTAGTAATACTTAAAAAGGATAATG